CTCAAAAACTTAACTCAGATAGCTACAATTTTTATGTTGAGTACTAATGCATATAAGCACGATTGTTTCATCAAAATAGGCCATACATTCAGCACCTATACACAGCCCGACTTTAGAAAAACTGGATGCAGAACTGACTTGTAAAAATCATATAAAATCCATATGATCTCCGATTCCCAAGATTCCAAAACCTACTGAAACGTAACGAAATTTTCCACATATCTCATGAAGAACACATTCCCAAGAAACGAGTTCGTGGTCGCCAAAAATGGCTCACAACAGAGGCCATGAAATCTGAATTCATCAAACATATTTGAACAATAAAACTTTTAAATCCTCAACTCATCACTTCAGTCTTGAATTTGAATTCTAACATTCTAATAACACATTTTTTTACACATAAAATCCATCATCAATCTCAACTCATGCTATACAATTAACATAAGCACACAATACACAAACCAAGTCATCAATCCTTATATAAAAATATTAGAATTCTTCCTCTTGACTATTAATCTCTTAGAATTCATATTAAACTCATAATTATCGGCCAAAGGGAAAAGGATCATGGCTGGTTTACCACACGCAGCAAACGAGAAAACGAAACGGCTCGGTTGTGCTAGAGGACTCGGCTCGACGATGGATTGCGGGGGCTCTCGAACGTGGATTGCTTCCGGGAACGTTTGCTGCTGCTGCTACCTTTCGGGTCCTCCTACGGTGGGACTAAAGGTACGACGAGTATGCTGGACGAAGGTGATGATGTATGGTAGTGAGATGGCTTGGAGACGACGTGATTTTTTTCTTTGAGAAGTTCTTGGAGAATAAAAGTGAGTTACGCTGGGAGAAACATTATGGTCAAATGATTTTAAAATATACTAGAAGTCTTGAAAGAGGAGTTAAGGAAGTTGAAAGTGAATAAACTTCTCTTTTCCTTGCTTTGGCCGTGCAAGGCGAGAATTTTTGGTAATTAGGACTCCATAATCTCATGGCTTAAGGAATGAAAAATTAAGGGTTTTGAAATTATTTCTTACGGTAAAAGAAAAGGAAAGTGGCCGATTTTATATGGTCTTATTTATTAGATAATTAATCTATCTCCTTATTGCATAAAACACTTAATTACTTAAATTTTGGATTAAAGAGATTAATTAATTAATCTATCTCATTAATATATAATTAAAAATTATATTAATATTATGGCTATTCTATACATAGGAAAATTAAATAGATGGGGACATCTGAATAAATTCCCATTTATCTTCATTAAATAAAAATTATTGAGTGAGGACACTCACTAGAACATCGAGCTCAACCAAAATTAAAATAAAACATCATAAATCATTAAATTAAGTATAATAAATATTCATGAAAATAATACTAAGCATAGAAATGAACGACACGAGTTTGGGGCATTACACCTAAACAAGCTAGAAATTATAAAGCAATAAGGAAACTAAAAATAACTTGGCTTGCACTCCAAGTTGGGAAGAATAATCTAGAGAAGATTCAGCTCAAAAAGTCTTTTAGAAGTCCCAATTTCTTGCTGGCCTAGTCAGCCCGCGCGCTGTCCCTGGCAGGCCTGCTGCCCGCGCGCGCGCTGCTGCCCAGTG